GGTGGATTAAAGAAGTAGATTCCGGTTTATTTTTCCATTTAGAAATAGAAGAAATATCAATCAGTGAAAATAAAAGAAATTTACGGTAACACTGGGTTTATCTAGCAGCAGCAAAGAGCTGTAAAGTCTTACATTAGTTCTTCTCGCAAATTTACGGCCACCATTTTGAATCAGGAGCCATGAATGGCACTTGTTTTCAAGATCCAACAGGATTTATCAAAATTAGCATTTCGCCCGAATTTGTGCCTCTGTTAGTGGATAAAGACTTGCTCCACAAGATTTTTGTATCATTACGTGAGGTAAAACAAGAATTATACGCTAAAAGCTTTCAGGTAAATGACATACGTGAAAACCTACCTCCCCACGTTGAAAACGCACGTCGTAAACCTCAAACGTGACGCGAAAGACTTGTCACGTGGCCTCCAGCGGTTAGAGGTTCGCGGTAAACTCGGATCTAAAACTCTCTATTATCTCTGAGAGGGCAACCTGCAAGAAATCTATGACGTCAGAGGGTAACAAGGCAATGTTACCCGCGAGTGTTGAGCGATGACTGCCGTTACAGCGAGGATTAATGAATTTCCCGCTTCCAAATTTCCAGCTATATAACTGACAAATCACTTAAAGACTGGTCCCCCGGGAAACAGTAAATTTTGTTCTCCCGAGAATATGTTTCCCTCGTGACCAGTCATCAAGTGTTCATTATGTTCCTGTGGTGATCATTTCATTAAAGGGGCTGTGTCACAGCAGTCAAGTTCATTATGTTTAATTTTGCCAATTACTCGCCCTCAATTGCTACGGAACTTAAAGTAAGCAAAGAAATTACGTGGAAATGACAAGATCAGAGATCCAAGACAAAAAAATATGTCTCCTGATCATTATTTTTGAAGTTGCAAACAGCAGGGATCAATTTTGAGAAACTGTTAGGCTGAACAGTTTTCAAAAACCCTAATTTCAATCCGTTTCAATCTTCTTCAGTTTTGCCCATCTGTTGCATCTGTTGTACCTGTTGTGTTACTTTAACCTTCCTTTAATGTTTTAAGTGGTTATTTTTACGTTTCTCTTAATTTAACGGGCATTTTGTATTACCTAATGTGGCTGAATCATTCGTGACACAGCTCCTTTAATTCCCATAAACATGTCTCTTGATTGTGTACTGATAATGATATTGTTAGGAGAAAACCAATGTTGGTCACTCTATAGACTTGAAGGGTTAAGAGAGATTACAGTAAAAACCCACATATATAAGAGCCTACAATTTTTGAGGTCAGCAGGCTAAACAGGTTCTTATATTTTTGGGTATTTAACTGAAAAATTTCAGCCTGTAGGTTCTTAAATCACTAGGTTCTTATATGTGGGTTTTTACTGTGTACTGCACAGGGGGTTTCTGTTAACGAGGTTTGACTTTATGTGGCTGGGAACTCACGACCGAGGTTGCACTTAAGGGTGGAGTCAACCTACGGGAGATCTGCAGTAGCAGAGGTTCATCTACATAATTATAGCTCTGTCCACTTGAGGGGGGGGGGGGGGGGGNTGGTTATGTATGATAATGAGCTTAGAACAAAGGGAAATAAAAATTAAACCAAGGCCAAAATTGTACCACAACATCTATATACAAGAGGTGTTGGTCAGCAGGGCTTGGACTGTCAAAAAAGGGATTTCTGTTTGCACAGATTTCACCTGATTTCACTAGCCTGGACTTTCTCAAAGCCTACTTTCAGTTTCTACCCCTCTCCTGACTTCTTTGCTCACTTTTGCTTCCTTCGCAATCATCCCTCAACTTTGATGCTCTGGCAGTCGCCTTGTGGTGAGTATACAACCTGCTCTAGAGTCTATTAAACTTTGCAGCCCTAAAAATGACCACCATGCATCTAATTACTCCTTATGTGTGTCACTGATTATTTTAATGAGACATTAAGATTATAAGAATATAAAAGAATTCCTCGCAACAATATTCCTCTAGCGCATGTTTCAAGAAATGTTAGAAGAACAGTATGGAAAGTATGCAGTTTGATGATAAGGCTTAAAGCGATAACTGAAACAGTAGTAGGGACACTGGGGAAAGAGGAATGCTTCTTTTTTATTCCATTTTCTCAACCCTCTGTGCCCATACCCCTACCAAAACTGCTCAGGAACTAAAAAATTTTACTTTATCTTGAATATATGGCACTTGCTGCCCCCACAAATGCAACCTTTCAGCAGAGTCTTCATAATTCAATTTCTCATGCTACATTTGGTAATCCTTTACCATTCCAGAGAATGGGTTTACAGTGATAGATCTTAGCAAAGAGGGGAGGGAGGCTAAATAATTCTAAAAAATTTAAGTTAAGAGGCAGGACAGTCTTTTAAACTATAATAAGGGTCACTGGGTTGCTGGAGGAGGTAGAGTTGATGTGCTGGGTTGAAGTGTCTGTTGTTGTTGTTGTTGTTGTTGTTGTTGTTGGAAAGCTGCTGCTTGAGCTTGTTGAAATTGCTGAAATTCCTCTTGTTCAGCCTATAATCCAAAAAAAGACGGTTATCCCTAATTTTACAGAAAAGGGAAAATTGAACACATTGCAACAATTAAATAAGCAACTACACTAAAATTTGAACCAACAGGAAACAATCTAGATTCAGTTGAAAGTTTACGCTAACAACGTTTTGACAATGTTGTACAGTATACAACTGTATTTGTTATATTCCTAGACTTTCACTCAACTAAACAGGGACTGCCATTGGTTGATTCTTGGTCACATGGCCTTGACTAAAATCAAATGTATCCTGGTCGTGATACATTAACTAATTTTCCCCTGCTCAGGCTACATTACAGAACGTGATCAAAGCATGGTGGAAAGTGGACAGAAGACGGAAAAATCACTGCCAGTTTTCTCTTTCGTAAATGAACACGACAACTTGAACACAAACACGAAGCCTCAAGCTAAAAAACAACGATTTTTAAAGTCATCCCAGAAGAGAAACAGTTGCTGGTGGAGGAAAAAGATGCAGATAATATAGGGAAAGTACTTTGTAAAGTGGTGTTAAGAATTAAACTTGTGCTGCTATAAGTACCGAGTCGACTGTTTTGGTTCGCTCAGGTTATTCTTTTGTTGCTGTTGAAGTGAAAGTCTAGAAATATAACAAAACACTTAATGCCAGGTCCCTCGGGAAACCAGTTAGTTTTGTTTTCCGTTGTAACAAAACTGTTTCCCTTGGGATCTGACATTAAGTGTATAAATATTACATTTGCAATAAATGTCCAATCACAGGCTGTATCTACATTTTTTAAATACCTTTCTTTATACATTGTAATAAAGTGCAACTTTAAGATACAATGATTGTTGCAGGTTATTACATTATTTTAGTATATAAATACAGTAAATACAGTAAAATCCCGTGACTAAAATCCTGCACTTTCCCAAGTTAGCCTGAATTGGTTCTCACATAAATGTTAATCAGCAAAAATTTAGGCTATTTAGGTTATTTAATTTAAAGAAAAAAAATACAATTTATAGATATATAAGAGCATTATCTTTATTTTTTCAAACCTGCATACCAGCATAACATACCATTACCTTGCAGTTGGAGAGATAAGGTATCTAAGTCTCCAAAGAGGCTTCAGAATATTGACTTAACATATTTGCCCAGTTGTACCAATTTTTTTTATAGATTTTAGAAAATAGGAACCTGTTTCAGATTTTAGGCTAAAAAGGTTCTTGTATAGCTTACCGTAACTGGCAAGCCTAACAGGGGCTTAACAGGTTCTTAAACCAGCTTTTTAGACTTAGATTCCTAGTTGCAGGTACATGTAATTACTGTAAGTATGATTTACCTGAGCTTGCTGGAGACGTGCCTGTTGAAACAGCTCTTGCTGTTGCCGCAAAAGTTCTTCTTCCGGAATACCCTTGAAAGGCAACAATACTATTGTTAATTAACAATGAAATTTTAATGTTTTGTGTCCTCCTCAAAAACCACAATTGTAACAAGAAATAATTTTTTACAGAGGAACTGTTGACAGAAAACCAATAATTATTACTGTAAGACTTCAGCAACATGTATAATGGAGAACAAAATAAGATCCACAAGAGACAATAATATGTAGAAATGTTGCAGCGCAAATTTTTCTTCAGTTTGAAAATTTCAAGCCAGTTTAGTTTTAATTTTCACTGATTCTGCAACAGCCATTGCCACATTTGATACATTTACATAGTACATAATTTTTTGGATCCAAATGTAAATATGTCAGACTATTTGTTATAGTTAATTTTTCATCTCAGTTAATTTTTATTTATCCTTTGTTTTTTGATAATATCAAAAATGATGCAAATGAATTTAAAACAAAGGAAATACAAAATTAACTGCAATAAAAAAATAACTGCAACATATACACTGAAAGGGATGGATATTGATGCAATTTATTTTTGAAATTATGGACTATAATCCAATTTAAGCAACAACCTTTCAGGACATTATTTAATGTCTTAAACACTGGTAAAGCAGATGGTTTATAAATAAGAATAACAAATGTTGCACTATTAATAACCTTATGCACGTATTGAACACTGAAGAGTTAAAAAACGATTAAATCTAACCAGATTCTCTAGCCGTGTGCTTGCTCTTCTTTTGTTCTGTTAAAAAAATAAGCAAGTAAGAACAACCGTTGAATTAAAGAATGTGAAAAAAGAAAATTAGAGCAAAAAAAGCCTTAAGAAGAGGTTCTGTGGTAAACCTACACTTAACCATAACAACTAGAGAAAGTTATGCCCTTCTACGGAAGGTTATGTTATTGGGTTGGAGAAGTCATACCATGGGACAATTCCCAGAGGCTCAAAAATTATTCTAAGTACAATAAACGTATTGTTTATTATAACATTAAAATTTTTCACCATCTTATCAATAGTGTACTTACAGCAGCCTGTGTTTTACATTCCTGGAGAACTGATCTTACTTCTTCAATGTAAGAATGAAAACCTAGTCCCTAAAAGAGCAAACCAAAGGAGCAAGTAAAATATAATTTTACGTTATTTCCATCACAATATCATAACCTTTTAATATCAAACGCAGGAAAGATGTATTATTCAACAATCAGGCAGTTGCAATGTACTTACATTGTACTTAGCTAGACTGACAACAGGTTGGCAAACATTTTTCTGTTCACTTGGTAGAGGACATTAATTTTTCAGCACATAATTAAAATCTTTTTTACCAATTGTACACTATTGATTTTGTGAAATAGCAGGACATAATATTCCAAGAATGTAGCTAAGGAAAAGCTCTGTAACTTTCTACTAAGCTGCACCTTCAAAATTACCCCATATCTTTGTTTTTTAGCTTGAACCCAAATTGAGCCTGTGGTACATACACGTATGCTCTCTTTCAGCCACTGGATACCTCTTCAGTAGCTGCATCTTTGATGTTCATGTTAATTGGAGATCATAACTTAACATATGCTCCCCAAAGCCAAGTTTGAAATAAAATAAAGCTGAGAATTTTTATGAAAATTGTATGCTAACTGGCAATGAACAATGAAACTCAGGAGATTATTGGTAGTTTGTGTATGACATGCAACTTTATTATAATTAACAAACGTTACCTGCAAAGCTTGGAATACATGTTCAGGGAGAATTGTCTTCTTTAGTTGACGATTGCAGATCTCATTTGCCTCTGATGACACTAGATGAATGAACTCTATAAGGGACAATCAGAAATGAACCATATCACTAACATGAGAGCTTGTTGAAATTGCTGAAATTCCTCTTGTTCAGCCTATAATCCAAAAAAAGACGGTTATCCCTAATTTTACAGAAAAGGGAAAATTGAACACATTGCAACAATTAAATAAGCAACTACACTAAAATTTGAACCAACAGGAAACAATCTAGATTCAGTTGAAAGTTTACGCTAACAACGTTTTGACAATGTTGTACAGTATACAACTGTATTTGTTATATTCCTAGACTTTCACTCAACTAAACAGGGACTGCCATTGGTTGATTCTTGGTCACATGGCCTTGACTAAAATCAAATGTATCCTGGTCGTGATACATTAACTAATTTTCCCCTGCTCAGGCTACATTACAGAACGTGATCAAAGCATGGTGGAAAGTGGACAGAAGACGGAAAAATCACTGCCAGTTTTCTCTTTCGTAAATGAACACGACAACTTGAACACAAACACGAAGCCTCAAGCTAAAAAACAACGATTTTTAAAGTCATCCCAGAAGAGAAACAGTTGCTGGTGGAGGAAAAAGATGCAGATAATATAGGGAAAGTACTTTGTAAAGTGGTGTTAAGAATTAAACTTGTGCTGCTATAAGTACCGAGTCGACTGTTTTGGTTCGCTCAGGTTATTCTTTTGTTGCTGTTGAAGTGAAAGTCTAGAAATATAACAAAACACTTAATGCCAGGTCCCTCGGGAAACCAGTTAGTTTTGTTTTCCGTTGTAACAAAACTGTTTCCCTTGGGATCTGACATTAAGTGTATAAATATTACATTTGCAATAAATGTCCAATCACAGGCTGTATCTACATTTTTTAAATACCTTTCTTTATACATTGTAATAAAGTGCAACTTTAAGATACAATGATTGTTGCAGGTTATTACATTATTTTAGTATATAAATACAGTAAATACAGTAAAATCCCGTGACTAAAATCCTGCACTTTCCCAAGTTAGCCTGAATTGGTTCTCACATAAATGTTAATCAGCAAAAATTTAGGCTATTTAGGTTATTTAATTTAAAGAAAAAAAATACAATTTATAGATATATAAGAGCATTATCTTTATTTTTTCAAACCTGCATACCAGCATAACATACCATTACCTTGCAGTTGGAGAGATAAGGTATCTAAGTCTCCAAAGAGGCTTCAGAATATTGACTTAACATATTTGCCCAGTTGTACCAATTTTTTTTATAGATTTTAGAAAATAGGAACCTGTTTCAGATTTTAGGCTAAAAAGGTTCTTGTATAGCTTACCGTAACTGGCAAGCCTAACAGGGGCTTAACAGGTTCTTAAACCAGCTTTTTAGACTTAGATTCTTAGTTGCAGGTACATGTAATTACTGTAAGTATGATTTACCTGAGCTTGCTGGAGACGTGCCTGATGAAACAGCTCTTGCTGTTGCCGCAAAAGTTCTTCTTCCGGAATACCCTTGAAAGGCAACAATACTATTGTTAATTAACAATGAAATTTTAATGTTTTGTGTCCTCCTCAAAAACCACAATTGTAACAAGAAATAATTTTTTACAGAGGAACTGTTGACAGAAAACCAATAATTATTACTGTAAGACTTCAGCAACATGTATAATGGAGAACAAAATAAGATCCACAAGAGACAATAATATGTAGAAATGTTGCAGCGCAAATTTTTCTTCAGTTTGAAAATTTCAAGCCAGTTTAGTTTTAATTTTCACTGATTCTGCAACAGCCATTGCCACATTTGATACATTTACATAGTACATAATTTTTTGGATCCAAATGTAAATATGTCAGACTATTTGTTATAGTTAATTTTTCATCTCAGTTAATTTTTATTTATCCTTTGTTTTTTGATAATATCAAAAATGATGCAAATGAATTTAAAACAAAGGAAATACAAAATTAACTGCAATAAAAAAATAACTGCAACATATACACTGAAAGGGATGGATATTGATGCAATTTATTTTTGAAATTATGGACTATAATCCAATTTAAGCAACAACCTTTCAGGACATTATTTAATGTCTTAAACACTGGTAAAGCAGATGGTTTATAAATAAGAATAACAAATGTTGCACTATTAATAACCTTATGCACGTATTGAACACTGAAGAGTTAAAAAACGATTAAATCTAACCAGATTCTCTAGCCGTGTGCTTGCTCTTCTTTTGTTCTGTTAAAAAAATAAGCAAGTAAGAACAACCGTTGAATTAAAGAATGTGAAAAAAGAAAATTAGAGCAAAAAAAGCCTTAAGAAGAGGTTCTGTGGTAAACCTACACTTAACCATAACAACTAGAGAAAGTTATGCCCTTCTACGGAAGGTTATGTTATTGGGTTGGAGAAGTCATACCATGGGACAATTCCCAGAGGCTCAAAAATTATTCTAAGTACAATAAACGTATTGTTTATTATAACATTAAAATTTTTCACCATCTTATCAATAGTGTACTTACAGCAGCCTGTGTTTTACATTCCTGGAGAACTGATCTTACTTCTTCAATGTAAGAATGAAAACCTAGTCCCTAAAAGAGCAAACCAAAGGAGCAAGTAAAATATAATTTTAAGTTATTTCCATCACAATATCATAACCTTTTAATATCAAACGCAGGAAAGATGTATTATTCAACAATCAGGCAGTTGCAATGTACTTACATTGTACTTAGCTAGACTGACAACAGGTTGGCAAACATTTTTCTGTTCACTTGGTAGAGGACATTAATTTTTCAGCACATAATTAAAATCTTTTTTACCAATTGTACACTATTGATTTTGTGAAATAGCAGGACATAATATTCCAAGAATGTAGCTAAGGAAAAGCTCTGTAACTTTCTACTAAGCTGCACCTTCAAAATTACCCCATATCTTTGTTTTTTAGCTTGAACCCAAATTGAGCCTGTGGTACATACACGTATGCTCTCTTTCAGCCACTGGATACCTCTTCAGTAGCTGCATCTTTGATGTTCATGTTAATTGGAGATCATAACTTAACATATGCTCCCCAAAGCCAAGTTTGAAATAAAATAAAGCTGAGAATTTTTATGAAAATTGTATGCTAACTGGCAATGAACAATGAAACTCAGGAGATTATTGGTAGTTTGTGTATGACATGCAACTTTATTATAATTAACAAACGTTACCTGCAAAGCTTGGAATACATGTTCAGGGAGAATTGTCTTCTTTAGTTGACGATTGCAGATCTCATTTGCCTCTGATGACACTAGATGAATGAACTCTATAAGGGACAATCAGAAATGAACCATATCACTAACATGCACTCAGTGCTATAATATACCTGCCAAGTGCCAAGCCTAAGGCATGATTGTCACGCCTGTGGATTGAAAACTTCGATCTCACGCCTACTCATGCCTGTGTTCTAATTTCTCATGACTGGTAAAAATTTTTGAGCCTTTACAGCATTAACTGTCTCATTTTGAAATATATTAATTATTTAAGGAAACTGGAACCAAATTTAGAATTAAAGAAATGGACTTTAGTCTATGTGAATGATTGACTTTCTCCAAATTCTCCTATTCATTTTTAGTAGGGAAAGTCACTGGAGAAGAGATCGTGTGACTCTTCATGTTCCTGTGTTCGTATTAGATGAAACTCTTCGCAGTATCTTCGAACCATCTTAGAACATCTTCGGATATTATCGGAACTGTACGAAAAATCCTGGCACTCTCAGGATAAAAATGTTACACCTATAAATCAAAAAAAGTTGGCAGGTATACTACATTTTAAAGTTTACTCTTATTACACTAGTAATAGTTGACACTACAGCTAATCCCGCTCTGTATATTGTCAGTCAATAGTATTCTTGGTCATTGTGTAGCTCTTTGGAATAATTATACTGATTCATAATGAAGCTTTTCACACATATTCCATACAATAGGTGAGAGTAAAAACAGGAAATGCAAGGTTCCATGCACTGTTTCAGTTCGATTTACACAGCTTTGATCTGAAAACATTAGATCAGTTTCAAAAATATTTTATTCTCAACCATAAGAAAAGATTTAACTAGAAGTTGGAATTTTTCGCTATTTTTTCTCTTTCACTAATTGGTTCACTGTTTTAGACTATGATGTTACATTCACCACACTAAGCAGTGAATATAAAGCAAAACAAAATCACTATCGTGAACTGGGTGTTTTACCAAAGTTTCAGAGTAAGAACTTTTTGAAATACAAGAATATCTTACCGTTGATGATTTTGAGGGTAAGAAATGACTTCATGGCAAAGTTGTCGCGGAGACTATTCAACAATATGAACTTCACCTTCGGTGATAATTATTGTAAATATGTTCAAGAGTGAAAGAGTTGCTACTACGGTACCCACCTGTGCAACAGTTTAGAATAAGTTCACGTGCATCATTGGACACTCGGACATTGGGAATCATCTCCTTGATCATCTTGTTGACAGCAGCTTAATAAAGTAATGGAACATACACGTTATTACTGTTAAACAGGGCTACAAACCATAAGATCAAAATTTGAATACTCATATGTTGCCCCTATTCATTTCCTACAGAAGTAGTGGGGAGAAGATGATGATGTCCATAATGCTCATGACCAATCTGTTTTACAAAGTGTTGGTATTAAAAGGAGAAATTTGATGCTGACCACTCTTAGGGTTTAAGGGGTTAATTTAAAATGAATACTTTAAAATACTGCTAGTAGATACTTCTCACTGACGATAATTTATAGTACGAATACTTGTCCCATTAAAATGCCCATGCAAGAAGAAAACCCTGATCACAGTGTTAATATGGCCAACAGTAACACTTTGAAATCCCAAAAGGCAGATAAGTAGAACCAAAGGAAAATACGTGTAAATGCGAAAAATGATACAAAAGAAAAAAATCAAAAAGAGGAAAAATATCTCTGATCTGTACAGTAAATGTAACAACAGCTTTAAGTTATTAATTTCAATGATAAGCATTAATATTTTTCTTTACAATAATTCTTTTGATAACAACTGCATCCCTGCATTAAAGATTTTAAAATGCACCTTGTGCATCTATTGGGAATATTTCTATAGATCTCTTGGGTGTCTGCAGTTGACATTAATTAGTTGTGACATCAGGGTGTATTTTTGGGTTGCCAGGCAATGCCAGATTAGGTGTGAATGCAAATGCTGTGGGGCACTATCATGTTTAATTTTATTCAAAAGTGCATTTCACTTGTGCTTTTCACCATCCAAACCTTAATTTTCCCTAAAATCTGTGCCTTTGAATTCATGCTACACCAAGGCAAACCAACAATGAATTGATTCTTTCCCCGATAATCGATGTGACAGATTGATCAAATTAAAGACTAGTTTCAGCTCCGTACTTCCACATGCTGTTGAACACGAGAGTGAATTAAGACCAAAATAATGCAAAATAGCTTTAATACACATCTTTTAGCTAATTTTTTTCAAATGTATCTTTGAATTCATGATAAATTCAGTTCCACCAACTTCAAACAGTATTCACGGCAGAGAGAAATGCTTTACGCATAATAATTTTAGCATAACAATTATTCAGTGGCTGTGTGGCGTATTGGTCAAGGATCCAACTTCACTTATTGAACTTTCGGAAGGAGCGAGTTTGAATCCCAGCAAAGACATCCCGTATTTCCTCAAATAACAGCCGTCGCTCAATTAATCACCTCCCTCAAATAATCGCCCCTCTTTGATGGAGATATTTGAAATAATCGCCTCCCTTCAATAATCCCCCCCCACCCTCTCACCACCTTCTCTTTCTTTTATCCCCTTGCCTGTCCAGTTGAAGGGAAATTTGATCCAGCAAAACTAATCAGTGATTATTCAAGCTCTGAAAATTAATCAAGGAACTAAATTTGGAACACTTAAAAAGCCCATATTCAGTTTATTTGATGTGATAATTTTTTTATTCAATGCGATAATAAAACAAAATATTTAAGGGCTTGACTTCCGGTGAGCAATATTTGAAATAACTGCCCCCCTCGAATAATCACCCCCTTCTAATTGCCCCCAGCTATTATTCCAGGAAATACAGTACTTTTAAACTTTCTACATTTTTTTTCCTTTTTAGTTTTCGGATCATGTTTTTTTCTTTGGCTTCTTTCCCTTTGTTCTCACTGCTGATCCTTTAAAGCTTCGCAAGGATTTTGCGATAATATATGTCTAGTCCAATATTATAATCTTTGAGTATGGGTACGTATCAACTGTGGTTCACAAATGAACAGTAATGCCATATTACAAAAACAGTGGTGTTCGTCTGAGTTTCACAACTATCTGATCACGTCCATGTGAGTACATAAATTCTTCAAATGAATGATCTCTTCTTCAAATTTTGTGGTGATAGCTTGGCTGGTCGATCAGGCAAGGAAGGATCCAGGAACAAGTCGGTTACATTGAGCAATTATTTTATTTTCATGCAACAAGGATCCTTTTGATGGGATCAACGAATTGAATGTTGAAGATACTGCAACAGAAAGCTTTTATTTACAGTAGTGATGTAAGTGACACTGTCAAAGCGATCAGTGTAGAAATAGATTAAAATTCCCTCACTGAACATTTGCCGTATACATTTGTATTTGTTACTGTTACAGTTTCTGTTATTGTTCGTTTTAATAAATATTGAAGTTTTGTTTCGAACATTCGGTTTGTTCTTGTTTAAGTACAATAATTTTAGCATAACAATTATTCAGTGGCTGCGTGGCGCAGTGGACCTGAATAAATTTTTTGATACGACTTAGCTGTAACATAAAAAGGTCAAACTATATGTGCTTATTAGTTATAATTTAAATGGTTTATAGAAACGAAGTGAGCTTACTTGTAAGTTAAAATTAACACAAAATTTCGGCAAAAACGGACAAACAAACCCCTTTTTACCATGAAATATACAAAAAAAAGGCAAGAGAGATCTTTTCTACGATCCAAAGAAGTTAGAGTGCTGAAAAGGTTTCAAAAAGAAAGAACATTTTCACATTACCTCTTGGTAAAGTAACATCGTCATCAGCTACAGCGTCCGCCATCTTGGACGGTTTATGATAATCCTTCGATCGTGGGCTCATATCAGCACAGGCACACCATCCGAACTGTTCGAGCATCGTGATGTCCCAACCTCGATACCAGGGTTCTCTCCTACTATGCCAAGCCAAATGTAGCAATATTCAATATTTATAAATGCATTCAATTTAATACCTTTTTTTTGCTATTTGCTTACTTCTATTCAATTTAATCCTCAATTTTCATTCAATTCAATCCCCAATCATTCAATTTAATAACTGATATTTATTCAATTTAATCTACTAAAAGTCATTCAATCTGAACACTGATACTTATTCAATCCAATCCTTCCGTATTCGTTCAATTTAAAATATACATATATTTTTAATTTGATCACTGATGTCTATTCAATTTATTCCACCGCATTTTATTCAGTTCGAACGATATACATTCATTCAATTCAATCAGCCCATATTCGTTCAATGTTCGCACTCATTCATTTAAT